AATACCAAAGCAGAGGGCAGCTTGTTTCTCTCCTAAAATGTCAGCAATGTTTATTTTAACACATAATGGTGAAATCCTGAGCCTTATTTAAATTTAAGAGGGGGGCATAAGTTTGATTTGGCTAAATATCAAATAGTCAGTGAGCAAGAACATAGTTTTTCTTGCTTTTACCTGATGTAGTGCTTTATCATAATCTGGTGTGCTGGGGAGTACGAGGATGTAAAGGTGTTATATAGCGTATAACAACAGTACATATAACAATGGTAAAATGCCGACATGCACATGAAGTTGGTTCTCCCTCTTGAAAATTATTGAGAATGTAGAATTTGTTGAAGGTGATTCATGAGCTAATACTCCCAGGCTAAATATAATGAAGGTGTGAAGTATTATCTCGAGGTATTATTCTGTCCAGAAATAAATCCCGATGTTCTGGGCATACTTCATTAAACATACCTCATCAAAGAGCATCAAACCCAAAAGTTATAAAATGGTTTAAGTGGCTCATCTGACTGAAGAGATCCTTTTCTGAAATGTCACATAGAAATAGAGCATCTACAGAAACTCTCTTCAATATTTGGTTAATGCTGAGACAAGTGTGCCTTGCACTGTTTGCATTTTAATGTTTGAATTATCGCAAGTTTACGGTATGTGTTTTGTAGGGTAAGAGAGAGAGAATGTTTTTTTTTTTTTATGTAAGAATTAGTTTGCAGCATAGGATGCTTGTACCAAGACTCCTGGAGATGTATGGTATCTGAGATACAATTATGCATCCCGTCTTCTCTGCTGTATCACTGATTTGAAGTTGCTATTTGGTTCCTTCAGGCGGCAGTCAGTGCTGATGTCTGCATTGTTTGATTGTAATTAACTTTCCCATATTTGTCATAATTTGGTATGTTCAGCTAAATGAAAACTACCATAGTAAACTAGAAGAAAGAGAATGACTTAATAAATAAAATGTTGACAGTCATTTGCTTGGATGTTAGCAAGCATGATGACTGGAGTATTGATTTGAAAATACTGCTGTGTTTCTTAAGGCAAAAGAAAAAGTCATCTCATTTTTGCAGTGACTGCAACAGATTCCAGCTCTTACTGAGCAGTACTTAATGATAATTTTGCTGCCTCTGCTTTGCCTTGCATTGGCAGAAGTTTGCAGTCTCAAGGCCATAGGTGCTTGTCCTGGCAAGATTGCTGAAGTGCTGATTTACTGACTGGTGTTGCCTGGGGCAATGTGTATGTTTCTATAAAACTGTGGGAAATGTAGTTGTATGTTATATTACCGTATGTAAAGCAGTCATTTCTAATGCTGTGTAAGCTGCAACAAGAAGCAAGCTGAAGAATGTTTTCACTTTTCTGTTTTGCTTTTCTGTTGAGCCAGAGCAAGGTTGGTAAGAAATGAATTACATGTGTGACAGAGAAGGGCCTTTGGGTCTAAGGAAAAAAAAAGAAGTATTTGGATTGGGGTTTTTTTTCTGGGCTTTAAATTACATCTGCACTTGTTTTTGTTCAGATAACCCCTGGTGAAAGTCATGGCTTGTTATATATGTTAAACGTTTTCTGCTTGTCATCTTATTTCCAGGAGTTGGCTAATTTATGAAAAGCAGTTTCATTTAGCTTTCTCCCCTGACAACTCACTGCTCTCTAGAAAAAAAATGAAGCAAACAAACAGAACTGTAGGCTACAATGGCAAAATCACTAAAAGATCAAGTTTTGGGAAGGAAAATCTAACCAATGGTTTTTGAGGGCATAGATTCTGCTGCCAAAGCCAAAGGTTTAGGGTTGGACTTGATGATCTTTTCCAACCTGAAGGTTTCTGTGAAGGTCTTGCAGCTTTTTGTTGTATCTTACACCAGAGTCTGAGCAATTCTGTTCAGTTTCTTGTGTACTTTTTTTATTTTTTTAATATGGGTGAAATACTTGGAATGAATAAAAGGGGAATTTAAAGAATGAATAGTTTTTGCTGGGCATATTGCTTCCAGTGAAGAGCAGACCAATTCATTTTCCTAATAAGGCTGTGCTGGATGTTGGAATGTTTTGAATTGCATTAAATGTCATGAAAAGCATTCATTGGAGAGGAATGGCTTGTGGTATGTTTACAGAGCAAATTTGATCACATTTGGTCAAAATGAACTGTTTACACAGGCTAAATATAGCACTTTTTTTCCTCAAAAAAGAATAAATGACTTTGATGTAGAAGCCTGTGCAAAAACTTCATGCACTTTCATTTTCAGTGTTAGGCCTTCAGTAAGTGTTGGCTGCTGCTTTTATTTTTGTCTATAATAATTCATATGAAGCTTGAAACTGTAACCATTTGTCAAGGTCTTTTGTATAAGTTGTTTATAATAAGCATTTACACAGAGCATTTATGTCTTTGCTTTGTTTGTATGCAGTTGAAAATAGTGCATAAACTAATATACTGAACTGTTAGTTTTAAATCATTCAGAAAATATCCTGCTTTTTTTTAGTAAGTAGTAACGGAGCAAGTGTGTCATCTCATTGTGAATGCCTTTGTCATCAGTTATTATACATTCAGTGTGACCAAGCCAGCATGAAATCCTAATATGTTTAATTGCTAGGTGACAAGCAATGTGCTAACAGCTAAGAAAATATGCAAGATTATGCAGTTTAATTATTTTTTTTTCCTATGCAGTTTGATAGTATCTATCAAAACCTTAAGGGAAATAGCCCTGAAGGAAGTATTTTCTTTAATGACTGTTGGGTGTGTTTTGCTCTGGAGCTTGAAGTGAGCATTTCCTTTTGTACTGTCTTGTCTAACAGCGATGCACTTTTCACATTCAGAACTTGGTGGCTCAGTTTGCTGGGTGAGCATTTTCTTTATATGATACAGGATAAATCACAGATTTCAGTCTGATTATGATCTGAAGTCAAGAAAGCCAAATTAAACTGTTTGAAGTATGTCTGGAACACACAAATTAATGTCCTTGTTTCAAGTATTTAGGGGAAATAAAGTAACGTTACGTTCTCTGACTCCAGTGTTAAAAGAACATTGGGAGCATTTCAACCTCTTTTTTCCCACCCTTCTCTTTGTGTGATACTTCTGAAGATGAATTTTGAAGAGTATGTCTTCAGATCATCTGGACATAGTGGTTTGAAATATATTTTTCTCAGTGCTGTATTGATGCATGCAGAGCAATTTCATCCATTGCAAACTCAAATTTGATTTTGTAAAAACAAAATAATATTTAAGTATGTTCCTTTTATGAAACTAAAACTTCAAGGTCCAGCATTAAGCAAAGAGATTTTTTTTCCTCAAGCATGAAATATGGTCATTGACTTGAATAATGAATGCCTTTCTACTTCTTACTTTTAGATCAGCTTAATAAATACACAGAATGTTCCAAGTTATTGTATTAAAAAACATGTCTTAAAATATGGAGCGAGATGCATGTTTCCTTCTAACTTGAAAGAAAAGTTTCCGTATGTATTGGCACTTTCTTCTTCTTGCTTGCTTTTGTTGCTGCAAATTGACAACTCTGCAATTAGGAGTGATTAATGATGCACCCTCGTGCTTTGGAGGGCTGGAGGTCAGCCTTCATATAGGCTGCATACCCTGTGGGAAAGGGGAGAACAGACCTGTTCCTCAGTGCAGACAAAACCCCCTCACTGTTGATGTGGACATAATGTGTGTCAGCAGCAATGCAAAACTGGTGAAGGCAAAGTGAAGAAGCTGATCTTCTCATGGTGGATTTTTTTTTTCCTTTTCCTCAAAATATAGCGTGTAGTTTTTAATGTATCTTCCTTTTTGTAAATTAGCTACTGACCCTGCAACACGATTGCTGTTTTTGGAATCTGAGCTCTCTGTGTTTTTCTGGTGGAAATAGGAAAGCTGATAGGTTTATACAATAGAGGTGTTTTAAATTGTAACATGTTAGCTGATCTCCAATTAAACAAACGTGTTTCTTTCCCTGGCAGTTTATCTTCTGGAACTGGGATTCCAGCTTCAGTTCTTCAGAACCCTTTTTAGAAGACTTGTCGGAAGCTGTAGTTGTTCATGCAGGATGATTTCTGGTTCTTGGATCATTAAGGATGCCAGCTCTTATGAGCAGTTACCAAATATGGCCAGAAATGTTTTGAAATGTGGCAAGAAGGCGATTTTCTACCAAAAGAGCATGAAAAGATTCAAGTGTATCAGCAGCAATATTTGCAGAAAATGTTAGTGTGTCAGGTTTTTTGCTGGTTGGTTTATTTATTTTGTGTTTAATTTTGTGTATGTATGTATTTTTGCATATAAGTGTATGCAAATCTGAAAAAAAACCAAACCCAACCCAACTATCAAGTGAGATGCCTTTATCAGTAACATTTTGTAGGTTCACTTCAGGTATAACAGAATCTGTCAATTCTTTATCATATTAATCCTTTCCATTGTGATACTTCCTTTCCTTCCCACCACCCCATAGTAGTTTCAATGCACCTATTGTTTGGAAGAAATTTTTTTGTTGTGTACTGTGGAGTTCAAGTGACATTAACCTTACCCTTGAAGGCCAAAGACTGTGCAAAAACTTTCTGTGTTATTTAATTTCCCAAGTCCTTCAGAAGGATTTTTGTTGTTGTTCTAAAATGAAGCCATCTGATATAAGCCTGAATAAAGGTTATGCACTGTTTAAAATGCAATTTACTTGACTAGAGCTTTTGAGTTACATGACATAGCATCTTACGAAAAAAAAGGAAAACAATAAGCAAATTAGTCTTCTAACTGGTGATGAGGTATTATGAATTTATAAATAAAATATTACTTGACGATAGATGCTAGTGTTCCTAACACTGTATCTGGATAAATTAATTCAGTTTGGTTTTGCCTTTTCCTCATATTAACAACAATGTTGTAGGTTTTACTTGAATACTTCTGTTTCCTTTAGAGGAAACAAAATGTGATGTTTTATATATCTGTGATGACAGGATGATTTGGAAGAGAGAAATGCTTAAACATTAAAGAACTTATATGTATGTTTTTACACTTATACGTATGTTTTTTTCTGTTACAGAGTGTCTTCTGTGCAAAAACCCGACATTGTTCAGGTACCAAAGGTATGTATAGCACAACCAAGAAATGCAGCATGTGGTACTGTTACCCATCTGTCACGCCCTGTTCTTGATAATCAGTCATTCAAACTTTCCTTTCAATATAACATGCTTGATTTCCATGTCTTCCATTAAAAGCATTGCAGCATTTGAATCTGAGTGATCCCTGCCCACCCCCCAAAAAAGGAAAGACGTAATTAAAAGACCTGACAGATGATTATTGAAAAAGAAGAAAAGAAAAAGATATTGTTCAAGTTCTTCCTTTATCCTTAAGGGAGAAACGTTAGTAGGTTTTTTTAGGGATGGGTTTTGCTGTTTTTTTGTTTGTTTGTTTTTTTTTGGTGTTGTGGTTTTTTTGTTTGTTTGTTTGGGTTTGGTTTTGGTTAGTTTTTTTGGGGGTGTTTTTGCTTTTTTTTTTTTTGCTTTTTTGGGGGGTGGGGATTTTTTTTGTTTGGCTGGGGATTTTTCAGTGAGGACTGAAATCTTCTTTTGTGTTTGGAGAAAGCTTATCTAAATATTAGGGTTTGAAAGAACAGTTTCCCTCACTTTGCTTAAAACCCTGGGAAATTATTTGTGCTTCTAATGTTTTGTTCTCAAGCAAATCCACCTTTTGGATAAGAAGGCTGTTTGCAAACCTGAAATTGCTTACAAATGGCCTGTACATGAAAATCTTGTCCAGCGGACATAAATAATTTATAGTATACTCTTGCATTGCTGACTGTGATTTGAAAGGCCAGTTTGGGAACCACCATGGTAAACCATAGCTCCCAGAAAAAAAAGTGCGTTTTTTTGCATGTTTTGATCTGACAGGGGTATATGAAGACATTGAGGTCCATTGAGGGAGTGCAACTGGAGAGGCTCGCTGAGTCTTGAAGCACTGGCCCACTAATAAGTGAGCTCTGGGGCTCTGGTTCCACTCTTAAGGGCCGTATGAACAGATAAATACGTAGTGTGTGTGTACACACACCCATGTTTGTTTATGGGGAACGTACATATCTCAGGTTGGGTTTGGGAAGTAGAATGTGGATTTTATAAAAAGCTGCTAATTTTTTCCGCATGAGTTTACCCGATGGTTTTTACAGTGGAGTGGTTCTTCAGTTCCTCTTGAATTTGATTTGTGGGGTGTCTGTTTTGGATGAGAAGAGTTATCATCATGGGACTGCATATTGACTGTGCATGCTTGGATCATTCCCTTTCCTAAACGCATGGCTTGTTTTCTTCCATACAATTCATGGCTGCAGTCTCAGTAAAGCTTGCTTCTGTGCTTCTTGGTTTCAGGCTAGGTGGGTTTTCTCCCATGAGAGCAGTCAATATGCCTGCTGAGGAATGTGCATGTGTTTGGCGTGGTTTTGTGTGTTTCTTTTTTGTTTTTCATCTTGCATAGGGAGAACCTAAAGAAGTAGTTAAGCCTGTGCCCATTGCCTCTGCTGTTGCACCCAAAGTCACTCCCACGGCAAGTGTGGCTTACAATAAGACACCGAGGCCATTTGGAGCCGTAACCTCTTCCAAAATCACCTCCATCCCATCACCATCCTCCGCCTTCACCCCGGCCCAGGCAGCTGCTGCCCCAGCCCCGTTCGCTGTGCCCGGACTGCATGTTAATTCCAAGCCTAATGCTGAGCAGTGCTCACCGGTGCTGAGCGCTGCTAAACCTGCAGTTAATGTCCCACGGCAGCCTGCCACGCACAATGCCGGCCCGAGCGCCTCTGCTGGCGACGGCACCCAGGATGTAGCCGAGGGGCAACGACGAGGATTCAGAGAAAACCAGGGGGAGAGTAAACAGCAAAATGGGTAGGTGGGATTTCTTTTTGCTGTGAGGGTCTTTCCTCACAGGAAAAAAGCTGGGCTTGTTTAAGGGCTAAGTCAAACACAGCTTGGAGGAGGAGTCGCTTTGTCCTCAGACGCGAATCTCTGAGGGAAGGACTTGTGTTTTAAAAGGGATGCTTTGAGGGGTAAAAGTGGTGGTTTTTCTCCGGAGTGACATACCAATTTACAGAGTGTCACAGCTAAATTGAATCGGGACCACAAAATGCTTTATATAATGGGTTGTATCACTGTGTGTTCTGGACCTTACAACAAGCCCAGTGTTAATTTCAATGTCTGTATCTCACTGTGCATTTTGACTCTTGATACAGTGACTAAAAGCAGCAGGCACACAAAAATGCAAGAGTCGTCTGTCAGTAGGTGCTGTGATGGCCAGGAATGAGATACTCTGAAAGGACCCAGCAGGACCAGTGGAGAGAGGTCCCAGAAGGGAGGCAGAGGGACAGATGTCACGTCGCTTCTCCGCACAAATATGCGAGAACGTGAGAAATTTTTAAGGTGCATTCAAGGAAGCCAGCAGGTTTAGGCAGATTTTTTGTAGCATTGTAATATTTCAACTCTAAATAGTGCCTTTATCCTAAAAAAGAAATATAGTTTTAAAATTTTAGTAACTTTCATATTCAAATAATTGTTTATGTTAAAGCGATAGTGGAGACCTAACATTTAAGGGACTGTAAGGCTGCATGAAAGGCTTACACAGTATAGTGTGTAGCATCTAGACAAGTAAACAAAGATTAGTAGATTAAACTGAGCCCAGTGGCAATCCTGTGCACTCAGACATGCAGTGCCACCCTGTTTCAGCATCATGCTTTTGGCAGGGGACACCTTGGGCTCTCCCAGAAATTCTTGGGCAGGGCTTGGGAACTGTAGTGCCTTAGGGACTGGTTCCCAGTGGCTGCTGTGCTGTGGGGAGAGGAGGAGGCTGGGCAGGAGTGGTCCCATGCCAGTTGGCCTCTGTGCCCAGCAGCAGTGTCAAGCAGATTAAGTAATAAAAAGGGCTGGAGGGGAACTATAGGTTTCTCTTCAATCTTGAGAATGTAAAACCTGGGCATAAAACCTAAAAGCTGTCATTACTGTTTCCCGTCCCTCAAAAGAAAGTGGCTGTAGGAAAAGACTTAGTGCTTCTCTTGTCTGATATTCTCTCAGTAGGTGAAGTATATAAAGAACCCTACAGAAAGGTAAACATCCACATCAACTGAAATACAGCATAAATTGCAGTTTCAGTTGAGCGTCTCATGGGAGGGGAAACTTCTTTAGGTACCTATTCCCTTTATATTGTGGTACGAATGTTTTCCATATGTGGACTTGTATAATGCAGTCCATATGCATTTTATAATCGCGCTGTTGCCATGGTAACTTCCAGCCCTTTCTTAAACAGGTGGTGGCAGGAGTCCACACCACTGCATAGAAGTGGGATGAAATTGGGAAAACCCAAGGACTTGCTTGATGCTGGTCGACTTGTTGAATTCACTTTGGCAAACCATTTCTTTATCTTTCCAGGAATGTTGTTGTATCAAATGACTGTATGAGTATTTAAAAGCAGTAATTAGCACTGAAAAAAGAGGAACAATAGCAGTAAAACTAAATCTCCTGGAGGGAAGTGCTGGAAGTCTGGAGTAAGCACTTGACAGTCAAGATAGAATGACTGGATGAGAGCTGTTTCGTGCCCTACCTTATGGTTATGAGATGACTAATACCAGCTGAAGAGTATCACAGCTGACAGATGAAGAAATCCCTATTTTGCCACTAACCTTCCAGATCTACTTTGGGAAAGTTTGAAAACGTTCAGAACTGTAAAAATCTACTTTATTTTGCCATCTTTCTTGCGATAGTGTATTTGAGCTTATCAAACTAAGGCAGAAAACAATAACCCCTAAAGTGATTATATTGGTCTGCCATTACACTACTTATTTTACTTGGAAAAAATCGCATTTCTACAATGATGTCTATCTCCCTCTCCGTTTAAAATGGAATCAGTGACATTTATGAAATATCAGAAACATTGAAGTTTGGAATAATTGAGCAGTCTGAAATAAATTCCATTTTGCTTCTGTGTTTTATATTATTAATTTTCTCAAAAGAGAAAAAGTGCGTGTGTGGGGAAGTTTGTATCTTGTTCATAGCTCTGCTGAGCAAATACAGTTCTTCTGACATGCACCTTGTACTCGGAATTTCCCCTCTTCCTTCTGGCTTCCGTCAACCTGTATTCAGGATATAAACTATTTGTCCTCACTTCAGGCTGAGGAGGGAAGTTTTGTTTCCCTTGTTTAGTCCTGGCTTAGAAAGAAAGCAGTTTGCCTTCATTAGGCTGTATGCAATTATGCTTTATTCAAGACCTTCTTGCCAACTCTTGCATGAAAAAGTGCCTGCTGCTTAGAACAGGTAAGAGGTTGACAGATTTCACTCGGTTTAAGCTCAGCTGGGCTGATTTTTTTTCCCTTGTAGGTTCTCTTGATGGTTTTAAGTTTGACTTACCTGGTATATGGCCTTACCAGATCTTGGATTTGGAAACTCCTGTAATATTTCAAGGAGCAAAGAATGTGTTAACACATCAAATACTTTTTTTTTCCCTTGCAGATAACAACAATGATAAAGTTAGTATCGACAGCACTCAAGTTGAATTATGGTCATTTTTCCTGTTGGTATAACCAGCATGTATTGTTGTTTTGAAAAATTATAACTCTTAAATTTCATATTTAAGTTTTGCGCAACAGCTTCAGCTCTTCTTTGTAACTTCTTAGTGCAGTAAATGATTTTGTCTGCATTGGACATGATGTGATCTTGCTTTTTTCTCAGTGTGTTACATTTTGCAGCTTTTGAAAAATTCTTATTATCATTTTTATTATTTTTGTGTGGTGTTTGTGTGTATTGATAATTTCTTGGTGCAGTTACAGCTAATTGGTGTTGGTAATACAACTAGTTAATGGTGAAGTAACCTATAAAAACAACTATGGTGTGAGGACTATGGAATGAAGGGATAGTGAATTTATACAACAAAAATAAAAGTAACATTCATATACATCCGTATGTGATTTGTACGTATTAGGGATGATAAAAATGATTGAAGGTTTTACTGGCTTGTCTTTTCTCCCTTCGCCTGAAAGGCGAGTTAAGGCAGAGCCTTTTCTCATTGACTTTTCCTTTGTCTTTGGCACCACCTTGTGGCCTCAACGAGTCACTCTTGTTAGTAGAGTCTTAAAGAAGGACCGGTAGGATCCTCAGAGAGTCAGCGGGCTATTTTGTTTGTAATAGTACTTTCAAAAAATGTGAAAGACTACTTATTTCACTGTGGCATTTGCTAGAATGCAGTCAACTGCATGTAAATAATTACATTTCCATGTAGTTCCACACCTTTAATTACTGCTTTAATGTTCACATTTTATTTTTGCTATTAAATGCTTTTAATAATGTTTGATGCTTTTCTTCAGTTTTCTCTGTACTTCTTGTACTCCAGCCTGGAAATACCACTGTCCTTCTTTCTGTACCTCTCTCTTTTAGTAACTTTGATATATGCATACTTCACTGATAGTATATGTCAGTAAATTAAATCTTTCAATATAATTTTGTGTGATACCTTTCATAATATAAAGAAATATACTTTTCTTTATATACAAAAGAATAATTCCAGTATTAATTATTCTTTTAAGCTTAAGCATTTACTCACGCATTTCATCGAGTGGGCCTAATTCTTACTTTTTGACAATTAATAATTTACATCATTCTCATTAATATTTTCCATCTTTCTTCACCATAAATACTTTGGACATTAAGAGTAAAGTGGGGAAGTAGTGGCAAAAATGAAAGCAACTTTTAAAGTTTTGTTGGGTTATTTAAAATTACTATGGCTAAGGAGCTAGTTTTGCACAATTGATCTCCTGTAAATTATGCAATAGTAGATCTACATTTAGAGAGTCTTAAAGATTAATGCTTTGGAATAAACGAATGTAGCATTTAGAAATAATATACATATAGTATGGATCTTCTGTTCCCTTTTCCTAAATTGATCAGTGCCATTACATGTTCTTTACATTGGTTACTGAAAACAAAGCATTCAAATCCTGTCTTCTTGCAAGTCTGCTGGTGCAGGGACTGATATTAGCATGTAGGTTGCTGTGGGAGAAGTTTCCAGATGAAGCATTCCCTCACTTTTTTGACTTCCAGAGAGGTTATTGAACATCAGTATCTCCACGTTATGCTCCAAAATGTCATTCCTACTCTTCTAAATGGCCTGAGCCTCATCCAGTCTTTGCCAAGTGCAGAAAACTTGCACACAGTGTGTGCTTGGCCTTTTGTGAGCCAAGGGGAGAACTTGTCACAGGGCACCTGATCTGAAATAAGTAGACTACCCTGCTTTGCCAAAAGAGATTCTCCCCTCATACCAGTGAGGAAATTGATGCAAGTTTAAGTATGGGAATTCTGTGCTGCAGTTTTGGTAGTAGAATGAGAATATCTCTATTGAATTTCAGTGCCCTTTCCCACAAAACTAATTCAATAGAATAATTAGCTGCACTTCTGTTTCAAGTTTCTGACATTATTTCTTGTGTTTTGTTTTTTTTCTCCTTTTCCTGTTTATGCTGGGAAAACTTTTTCTTGCTGTCTTACTCTATCATCTCCAAGGAAAACTCCACCTAAACGGTAAACATCTAAACATGTATATGTCTTGATAATAAAAACTTCTTTTACTGTTTCAGATGTTCTGACAGTGAAACAAGGGAAAATGTTTCAGTTCAGTAAGAGTAATTATAAAGCTGTGTTTGATTCAGAGAATTGAATTGATGTTCAGGTGTGCCTGTAAAGCTCACTGCGGCACATCTGCATCCAAACACAGAAGCTGCCTTTTAATGCTGTGAGAAGTCACAGTTCTGCCTGTCTTCGTAGCTGCACCAACTCAGGTGGTCTCTGAAGCTGTTCACTCATTGCTCTCTCCTCTCCTTGCCACAGTCCCCCGCGGAAGCACATTGTGGATACCTACACAGAGTTTTACCACACACCCACCCACAGCGATGCCAGCAAGAAGCGACTGATTGAAGACACCGAAGACTGGCATCCCCGGACAGGCACCACCCAGTCCCGCTCTTTCCGCATCCTTGCCCAAATCACTGGCACTGATCATAGTGAGTAGTTTGGTGTAAGCCAAGTAAAATTAATGGCTTTGGACAGATAGATGTTTTTAATAGCTGGGGGTGGGAATTAGTAAAAGGATTCAGTCACATTTCTTTCATTTTTCCTCTTTCATAATACATTCAGTAGGCAGAATTTTGGTTGTTTCTTTCCCGCCTGTCCTGTTCATATTTAATACTCCAGAAAAGTTAAGGTATTTTCAGGCACATAGAAAATATTTGACAGTCATACCAAAGGTGTGTGATCTGCAATGCTTTAGTCAATCAGAAGCATAAATCCATAGTTCCTCAGTTTATTCCCAGGTTATGTTTTCATCCTCTGCTTATGCTATAGTTTGATTACATATACTGTCAACTGGAACAAGTGATTCATTTCCAGTCATATAATTTTATGATAAAACTTCGATTTCATATTATGCTGTCAGTTACAATTCATTGGCTAAGATCTGTAATGTTGTGTAAAAGCCATCAGAAGAGTACCATCAGGAGACTTGAGCTCAGTCATGTTCAGATTGAAGCAGTTCATGTAGAGGTGATTATTTCATTCTGCTTTTCACAGCTAGTGCTACAATAAAGAAGGCAGTGAGGAAATTTGAACCCTTCCCTGGGGGCAGGTTTGATTAAATCGACTACTGATTCCCTGGCAGAATTACTCTAGAAGCCAATGATAACCTCTTCCCAAGCAAAGATTATTATTCATCTGTGATAAATATTCTGAACTTGGACAGTTACCTTGGTGGGTCACAGCCTGGCTGCAAACAGACGTTTGGATTATCACCTGTTATAAATGCACTGGCTGTTTGTCCAAAAGAAGTGCCTCCCAACTTCCATTCCTCTTCCCCTTCTTAACGTGCCTTTCTCAATGCCACCATGGAGAATGGGCCAAGAGAAAGGGCAGAGACCAGCAGAGCCACCTTTCAGCAATACTGCTGGCAAAGGGGCTTCCCCCACATAGCTCATTTCCATTGGGGTGTAGTTAGAATCTAGGAGTCCTAATAAGCCTTTTTGTGATTTCCTGTTGTGAATACATTGGCACAGGGGAGGATCTCAGTGTATGGTGGTACAGTGCCATTAGTGCTTTAGAAAGTAAAAACTTTCTGTTTTCTTGCAGTGAAGGAACCAGAACATGAAGCTTCGAAGAAGACTAAGTGAGTTGATGTTTTACATTTTTATTACTTTAATACTTTGCACGTCTTGATTTTTAACTGATAGTGTTTGGTGCATTTGTGTGACATCTGGTGTTTTTAAAGCATTGCTGCTTTTTTTGCCTTCTACTTCAGCATGTAAAAATCAAGAGTTTTTTCTGCATAGACAGATCTCTTAAAATCTGTTGCTGCAGTCCAGTAGTAGTGTTTGTGCAGGAGTTTGAGATTTTCCATAAGCTTGGACTGATTTGGTTTTCTGTACAAGGTCAGCTTGTCAATTGTGTTTTCTTTTTCCTAAATCTAACCAGACATTTTTGATTTGCCAGTGTGGATCAAATTGCAAGGCATAGCTGGAAAGTATTATCCTTCTGGACTGCAAATAAGGGTCAGCTGTCTCTTTGCTTTGGGATAAGTGTTGTTCAAAATGAGGACCAACCAGTGGCTAAATCTAGTCAGTGGGAGATTTTGTGCTGACTTTGTTTAACACTGGATCCAGATTTTTGACAGATAGGAAGGCAATGTGCAGATAGGATTAGTGCATGGAGATTGCATGCTCGCTTGTGAAACTGCTAAAGGTAATCTTTCTTCCTTTCTTATTTTTCTTCTATCACTTCTTTCCACAGGGAAAAGGTTCCCATCCACGTCTTTAGTCCCAAATATACAAAATTACGTGACTGGCACCATGAAGTCTCAGCACGTGTTCTTAATGTCCAGTGATTTTACCCAAGTTGCAAAAGCATAACACAAATACTTCCTTCTTTCCTTTTTTTCCTTCTGCTTTGCAAAAAAGGAAAAAAAAAAAGAAAAAGAAATCTTATTTCATTAGCCTTACTGCAAGAGAAATTCTGTCCTTTTCTATACTTTTCTAACACTTTCCTACTGATGTATAAGAAATGAGATTAAAATGTTCTTGTGATAATCAATAGTTGACAAAAAAACCTCATTTAAAACCGAACAACTTGGGTGCCTCAATCTCCCAACGTAGGGGATTAGGTAGGTGGCTGTTGCAGTTCTTTTGTTGCCTCGAAGGAGTCATTTGCATTGCTGAGTTTGTGTTACTGTAGGTTGTTAGGAAGAAAGTTATGAACAGAAGAATAAGAAATTGCATTACTTTGATTTTGGGTCTGGGGGAAGAAGACGAAGAAAGACTGTATGCACTTATTTCAGACTACCAGGATAATTATCTTGGATTTCACTAGACATTTAGCTGGTCAATTTTAGAGTGGTTGTAAATGTTTTACCAAGTATAACAAGAAGATGGGCTGCTTTTAAGCAAATAAATAAATAAATCCACTGTTGCAAATCCAAGTGCGAGCTCAATATAAAGATTCTGCTGCTTAGACTAGTAATATGTTCATATTGTGGAAAACTTAGAAAAAATTAAGCAGAATGTTGCTGTGTACCTGTAAAAGCTTCAAAACATCCTCTAACCAGAACACGATGGTAGTATTTATTTATTACAGTGTGAAGCTCATAGGCTTTTTTTTTGTTTATAAAAGCTTCATGGCCCTATGGTTCTCCTGTAAAATAATGTATTATAGTAGCTACACATTCATTAATTTATGCTTTTTGAAGCTTGAAGAGTATTTTAATAAAAGTTGCTTTTATCTTAGATCTGTCTGCTTTTCTTTTGAGTCTCTCCGACTCCTTGAATATTCCTCTCATGCACGGAGCTGTAACTTCATTGCACTTTCATAGATTATATTATTAAGAGAAACAGTTAAAATCCCTGCTGCGTAGTAGAAACAACCTGCACTGTAAAAAAATATCACAGTAGTAGAATGGGGTTTGTGTGTTGTCAAAATCGACACGTTTGTAGGTGTCAGTCAAATGAAGGACCTTTGGGTGGTTACAGGAGCAAGAAATTTGCCTAGTAAAACTCAGTCTTTTGCAGCGCTTATTGAATCAGAAGTTTTAAAGCTCAGAAGTCAATTGTAAAGCACATATAAAAGCTGAGTCTTTCCTAACTGCTTAATAAGAACCACTACAACGGCTTGTAGTTTGTGCAGCTGACCTACACTCTTTTCTGATGTGCAGCTGACCTACACGCTTGGTCCTGTGAACAAATTGATGTCCATTGCAAATGCTTCTGCAGATCTGGTGGGGTAAACTTTTTTATTGCACAACAGTGAAATAGGAGACCCTTGGAAGCATGTAAAGCTTGTGTTTCCTTTTCAGATGGTTTATACTGCTATACAGTACAGTAGTAGTTATCATATTTGTCATTTTATCCTTAGGAAAAGCCAAACAGAAAATGGAGACTTCAGGTAATATCCAAGTTATCTAACACTAACAGTCACTGATCTGGATGCATAACACTGCACAGCATAAAGTACAATTAGATTTGCACTGGTAATGATGGACCAATGCGTATCACATTTTGCACACCTTTTGGGTTAACTAATTAGGGACAGTAGGGGAAAATATTAATTTCAATAATTTCACTAAAGACTGTTTTAATGAGAAGTGCCAATTATTTATTCCCCTCCCCCCCCCAGCTTGTTAGTGAGAACTGTTACTAAACGCAAGTGTATTTCTGAGTGCACATGTAGAATCATAGAATAGTTAGGGTTGGAAAGGACCTTAAGATTATCTAGTTCCATCTCCCCTGCCATGGGCAGAGACACCTCACACTAAACCATGTCATCCAAGGCCCCGTCCAACCTGGTCTTGAGCACTACCAGGGATGGAGCATTCACAGCCTCCCTGGGCAACCTATTCCAGTGCCTCGCTACCCTAACAGGAAAGAATTTCCTCCTTATATCCAATCTAAGTGTCCCCTGTCTAAGTTTTAACCCATTACCCCTTGTCCTATCACTACAGTCCGTAATGAAGAGTCCCTCCCCAGCATCTTTATAGCCCCCCTTCACAATATAATAATTTTATAGCACACTGCTTATTAAAGTAGGAAGGTGAAGTAGTGTATTAAAATAGTTTTGCTGGTTTTAATTTTTTTTTATGAATGGAACAGAAGATGGGCGTTTTAGAGGACATCAGTACAATGAAAACTATGCGAGATTATTGCTTAGGCTCTCCCTAGTGTTTTCTTCATAAGGGTAGAATGATTTGGCCTTCCAGTGTTTTTGTATTTTGGAGATGTCCCCAGGTAATGAGAAACATCTTCACATTATTATTTAACTTACCATTATGTCTGTCTATCTCGCCAGCTCTTATCCCTTTGAAGGGTGAATTGCTTTAGTGAGAAATAGAACGAATCTGAAGTATAGAAGCCTCTGTTCTGTTCAGATTTAAAAATAGATAGTCATAGAGCCTAGCTGTTGAGGATATGAATAGTGTGAGAAAGGTGGGAAAATTATTTGTTGCCTATAAATTCATATCAAGAACTCATTAGTTCAAAAAATGTTTTATGAACATATGAAATGAAGAATTCAATTTAGGGTTTTAAAGATATCATCTCTTCTCCTAATATCTCCATTGCAGAACACTTGTTGATGTTAAATTTTGGACTTCATTACTGTTTCCAAAACAATGGAAAGCGTGTCCATTTGCATGTGGCTAACATGTCCTTGCTCATGTCCAATTCCCAGCGTAGATCTCATCTTTGAAAAAAAAAGCATTCTGAGAGGTTTTAATATAAATAAGCTTAAATTTAAGGGATTACCTAGAAGGATGAATATGACAAGCAATGACATAGAAACTTCTCTTCCATCAGTAATCTAGAGACGAATACCCCAATTTAATAATATTTCAACTTTTTGTGTGGATAAACCAGATTTTTCTTTACAGGAGCTGGAAGGACAGGAAATAGGAATAGAAAGTCCTCACTGAAATGTGTAAATTACAACTCTTTAAACCAGTTACTTAAAGCTTAGAAAGGCAAAATCTAGCCTTTGTGTAAAGTTTATCTATGTGCTTAAATAACTGATTAGTTCTAAAACATACTTGGAAATAGGGTGACACAGAATTAGATGTTCACTTTTAATCATTTCCTTTTGAGCAACTAGGTACAGATTTGGATTTGGCCTTGAACTGCTGAGTCAGTTCATTGTCCTGGGTGAAGATGTGCCTGGATTTTCCAGATTTGTAGTTTATTTAATCCATAGCCAGTGGAAAATACTTGTCCCACTCTTGTTCAGTCCTGAAACAACCTGTCTTAAAGGATGTATTTTTCTTTTTTTCTCCCCATGACATAAATATCTCTAAAGCATTCCTCAGTTCAAGAAGGACAGGGAGCTGCTGGAGAGAGTCCAGCGAAGGGCAACAAAGATGATTAGGGGAGTGGAGCATCTCCCTTATGAGGAAAGACTGAGGGAGCTGGGTCTCTATAGTTTGGAGAAGAGGAGACTGAGGGGTGACCTTATCAGTGTCTATAAATATATAAAGGGGGAGTGTCACGAGGGTGGAGCCAGGCTCTACTCAGTGGCAAACAATGATAGGACAAGGGGTAATGGGTACAAACTGGAACACAAGAGGTTCCACTTAAACTTGAGAAGAAACTTCTTCTCAGTGAGGGTGACGGAACACTGGAACAGGCTGCCCAGGGAGGTTGTGGAGTCTCCTTCCCTGGAGACATTCAAAACCCGCCTGGACACATTCCTGTGTAACATTATCTAGGTGTTCCTGCTCCGGCAGGGGGATTGGACTGGATGATCTTTCGAGGTCCCTTCCAATCTCTAGCATACTGTGATACTGTAAAGCATACCTGCAGATCTGCCTAATAGAGCAGGAGTCCAGGATACTTGTATTAATCTGAATAAAAACTCCATAGCTACCTTTGGAGAGGCCACCTGTATCAGAGTTTCCATCTACACCTTTACCGCCTATGAGGTCTGTCCTCTGGTCGTTCCTAAGTCTGTTCAATGATTTTCAGCACTTAAGATTCCATATGTCATTAAGATACTTAATTCTGCGTTCTTATACATGGACATACATGGACATACATGGACATACATGGACATACATGGACATACATGGACATACATGGACATACATGGACATACATGGACATACATGGACATACATGGACATACATGGCAGCAACACCTACTCCTGTGGCTAATCTAGTCTGCTCAAAACTTGTGGTTGTGATTGCTCTCTATCTAGTAGTTTGCTTCTATTTTTGTGTATCACAGTGAGATGTGCTTTTCTTCAATTAGAAGGCTTTAAGGCAATGTTTTCTATATATATATATTTTTCTATCACAACTGAAAGGAAGGATATGAAAAAATAAATATATAGTCTAACCTCCACAAAGCTAACGCCCTAAAAAAGTTGCAGCAAAAAGCATAACTTGGGGAGTGAATTCTACTAGCACTTTGGTCTGTTTCTTTTCCATTATTTCCTAGAAGTTTTTCCATCATGTAGCCCAATACTAAATATATATATGTTCCATATTTTTAAAGGCAAATACTATTTGGCCTTCTGAGTTTATAAGCAGCAGGACACTTCTTAACCTTCATTAAAACCGTGACACTTCCTAAGTGTATTGTGCATCATTTTACCCCCTGTTTGTGTATTGCTACAAAATCCACTTTTTTCTTAAAAAAAAAAAAAAAAAAAATTACTAACACTTACATGCATAGTCCCTCCTGTTCAGCACGGTATTTCAATGTGGATTAAAAATCTCTTTTCTCTGTGTCTCTCTTTTGGTTTTATTGTTGTGAATGGAGTGAAAATGGTGCTAGACCAGAACCTGCAGCCACTCTTTTGCCACTAGCAGAGTCCTTCTCTGGCAATGTTTGCTCTTCCAGCCTTTCAGAACACATTGCTGCAGCAACTCCTGGGAGGTAAATCATTCAGATTCGGTTAACGATCTACCTATGTGTTGCTTCAGCCTAGGTTTGCCTGTTTTAGGGCAGGGAGGGTCTGTCATTCACTTAAAATAAACTTTGTTAATCTACTGTGATTAGGGATTTTCCTGGAAGTGGAGGGGGGGAAGGAGGGTAGGAGGGGGAAGGAGAAGAGAAATGAAATGAAACTGAGCAGATTTATGAACAGTCGTGTGGGTACCAGTATAAATAAAACACGGTATGTAGTGTGTGTTGCTGTGTTGTCAGTGGGTGTCCACTCTGTCACCTGGATGGAGTAACTTTTCAATGATCTCAACAACTCAAAAGTGAATTGAGTTTTCTTCAAAACACAGAAAAATGCTTTTAAAACTATAAAAATATTTTTTTAAAGTAGATAATTTTGTTCATAACACTATGCTGTGTGCTGTGATGCAATCAGAAAAAAATCGGATGATTATCTGGCAAATTCTCTGTCATTGGCCTAGCTTCACCACCACTTATCTTGGCAGATTGATGGTGGTTTGGAGGTCATTTGTGGGTACTAGACAGTGACAATTTTTGATATTAGACAGAAACAGTAAGTTGGAAGGGTTTGATGCCATTATTAAAGGTCAGTAACATTTTCTGATGATTTGTGTTTCATAGTGCAGGGGAGTTTTTTGAATTCCAGGTAGCTAGAGTTCATTACACATACACAAGCACAAAGTTAAAGCACAAAACAAAGCTGCTGCTCTGAAAATGAGAATTGAATGAACAATGCCTGGTCCTGCCAGGCCCCTAGACAGAAGTATTTTTTACAGATAGTCAAAAAAGTAGATAATGGTATTTTCTACTCAAGAATGGCAGAAATCAGAGCAGCTTATGCAAAGCTGTAGAAGGAAGCATTAGCATTAAGTGTGGGAAGGAGAACATAAATTATATAACAAAGCTATGTAGTCTTGCTAATCTCCTGAAATTAGAGGTATCAGCATAACAACCATATTTGACGTTTATTTTTTGTTACTGAGGCCATGTCACTGCATTTACAACATGTTTTCATGTGGGAAATGCACCCAGAGCTGATCTCCAAAGTCCTTCATTTTTTGTTGTTTTTGTTTTGCTTTATTTTTATAAAATAGCAGCTATGGAGCAATTGGTGTGTGCTATGTTAGACCTTTGGTATAGCACAGTTACCCATCCAAAGGTCAGTAGACTGGCTTTTGCTGCTAAAGCCCCACGTGTTATCAATGACTGGCATGGGTCTTATTTTCCTACTGGTCTCCATCTCATTTTGGCTGAAGCTCTGATTTGTACCACCCAGTACTGAACCACCAAGAAAGAAAAGAACTTGCTGTGAAATGTATGAAGGATCTGGATTTGATTACTAGTTTAAAGTTAGGTTCATTACTTATAAGGTAGACTTCATAATATAAAGTGTAATGCTTTTTTATTGTAGCTTTAGTTCTTTAATGAAAGCCTAAACTGGTTATAAGGCAATATAGCCATCTACCGTAATTTATGGTGTATTAGTACTCAATTTCATATATGCAGTGTCCCCCTATTAGTTTAACAGTAAAATATTTTAAAACAATTGCAGCCTTTCCACAAAGTTGCAAAAAGTCATCTTAAAAAGTCATCCTGGCAAATTTAGATCATATAAACCACAGAATCTGGCACTTCCTGAGACATACATAACTAATATAAGGCAGCTCCAGTGCCAGCTAGTCTTTACATTGCTCTTTTATATACACACTTTTTACAGTCATACAGACTACTTTTTTCTTTTAATGGAATTATTCATGATAGTCATAAATACAAAGACAGTATTAAGTAGTAGGTATTAATCCTGATTTTGGTTGTGTATTTTCTGATTAGTGGACAACCAAGAATATTCTCTGCAGAAATAATAACTTCCGAGAGTGATTTCTTGCTCCTAACTACTGCCAAAGCAAGATTAACATGAAAATACAAGGAGTATGTATGTATGAATAAGATTTGGAGTCAGCTTCCTCTCACTTTGGAGCATATACCCAGTATGATTTATTCCCCTTCTCCTTGCCTTTGTCAGGGCCCTTTTTTGTAACTTAACAAAGCTTCACAAAGATGCTGTGTAAAGTTTTGGAGAACTTGAGGGCAACTCCAGGAAATATAATCTGTGCATACCCCTGTTTTGTCATGAATTGTTGTAACTGCTGCTGTATTCTCCTCAGCTCAGCCAGATCTTCCTTTTGGCAGGTTTGGCATTTCTACATTGATTTTAAATAACTTCCCTTGACTGCAAAAGAGAATTTGCAAAACCAGGAGCTGCTCATTTAATTGGTCAGTGAGCGTCAGGTTGGGTCTCAGACCGACCGAACTAAAACTGTCAGATCTTTTATGGTTGTCTTTGTTTGGTGATAAGCAGGAGGAAGTAAAATATGGGGGGGGGGGGGGTACTGCTTTCCTGGGGTGAATGCTGTTTCTCCTTCCGCTTGCTTTTACTTTACTGAACTTTTGTTTGAGAACACTTTGGAAGCCTTGGCCAAATGAGCATTTAACCCCCCTGCAATTGTTCAGGCTAAATACCAGTAGCCAAGTAGCCACAGTGTCTAAAGTGTAATCTACTTATACTAGGGAGAGTTTCTGTTATCTGTTTTTTTGAGTAACTACTTTAAACTAGCCAAATAGTTTGGTTTTGTGGTTAAACAAGCCTGCTTCTAAGCTTTCAAGCTTCAGCTGTAAAAATGCCCCAGAGAACCAGTTTCAGCATGGTCTGATTCCTAGGGGATGAGTATTTGTTTCCTGGGGAATTAAAAAACAGCCTTCATAGATTACTCACTCTTCTTACAGAAGATGCAAGAACACTGACTACAAAGGATTGTCCATTACTGATAGGTATCTTTAGCAAATGAGAGATTTCTTCTCCATGTGTCGTCTTGTTATAATTACTGTGAAATTAACATCAACTAGGGAAATAACTGTGGAGTTTCCTGCTCTGGAGGCAGCAAGCTTTTTGACGCCTGACAAAGCACCTCTCCCTGCAAAGTGCACCGTGGCCACGCAGACCTCCGAGCTCCCAGTACCTACCACTGTAGCTGTGGGACTGCCTCTTGCAGCCCCAACTATGGAAACAGCCCTTGAGCTGCCTTCTGCTATAGCCAGGTACATCTGAGCCTGCTCTGTTAAAAGGCATGATGAGAAACTAATTTTACATATGGTTTTACTTGATTTTTTTCATGCTGCTGCTGTCAAGATGGAGCAGCTTGCAGGTGTCTCCTGACCCTCATGTGGCTCTTGAAACCTGAACAGCATTTAGAAATTAAAGGAGGTTTTAGACAAAATGTAAAAAAAAATACTTAAAAATAAAATGGCTGTTAGATAGAGGTGGATAAACCAGTAAGGGGTAGATTTGGTTCAAAGGTAACATTGTAGTCAGAAGTTGGTGACATGGGCTGAATATAGTGTCGAAGTGTGGAGAAAGGTTTGAGGGGGGAAGGCACATCAGAATGTGCATAATGTGTGATGCTTTGGTATTCCACGTTTTGTTCTATCAGCTTTCAAAGGTTAGTCACCCATGCCATAAAAAGTGTATTTTTGGATTGCCTACTAGCCTGAAGTTTTTGGAGGAGAATACAAGCATTAACTTGTGTAATGATGGGACATCCAGAGTATAGTGTTTACCAATAGGTAAAGAAAACACTTCTTTCAGTACTTAACACTTTGGGATGTTAAACCACACCTGGGTTGGTTTTTTTCTGTTGTTGTTTTGGTTTGTTTTTTTGTGGGTAAAGAGGGCTTTTGAAAGTCCTTAAATGAACTCCTCCTGAGCTTTAGTTAGCAGTGCGAAAGGTATAATGAGGGCTTGATTAATGACTTTTCTTCTCTTGCTGCTTTTGGGCAGGCATGAAGCATCTCTGCTTACTTGTGAAACAAATTCTTTCAGTAAAATTTCAAGCTACCAGTCTAAATCGTCTGTAAATCATACAAGGTAAATATTTTAAGGTATATCTACAGCAGACCACTAGGTGTAGGCAAGGTTTTCAGGCAGCATTTTTGCATTTAAATCTGAGAAGTAGTATATGGTTGTGTGTTTTGTTGATTTCTGAAATGATTAAAAAAATATACACACCAATTCTATGGATAATATTGACATTTTAAAGTAATTTACCACTGTAGAAATTACTTTGGGTCCACTCTGGTTTTCCCTTTTCATGTACTTTTTCCCCTTTTCGTATTCCTTCCAACTTAGATAATAAGCAGGGAAAATTAAAAGGGGGTGAGGAGTACACTGAATTTGTACAGGTGGCTAAAAACAGGCCTGATGAAATTGTATTAGCAAATATTCCAAAGCCTTCAATGTTTATTATTTATTATGAAAAAAAGAATTTAAATGATTTTCAGGGGTCTTTCTGTCAGCACCATGGAGACTCATATGGATCCACATGGAGTGTCCTGGGTCCTGGTTCAGTGGGAATGACCTAGGGGTGTGAGGCAGAGTCTGGAATGGGGAATTTGAATGCTGATACATGCTGAATGCTGGCTTGGTGAGGGGAAAGTTTTGTTTGTGGGTGAAATCAGAATTGCTTTTTCTACATTAGTATTCAAGTAGTTAATATATTGCCTGACGTGTCTGTGAGCTGGGAACCTACATTCGCATAACTTTCCAACTGTTAATATGGTCTGGTATTGTGCCTCTGTCAATCTTTCCTGCTTTCTCTGTTTTCTCCTCTGTTGGTTCAAAGCTTCTGTGCTGAAAAAGTACTGCTGGAAAATCCTTTGGGAAGTCTGTCCGAGTTGGGACCTACTACTCTTCCCGTTCTTTCTCCTTTCAAGCAGAGATCAACAGTTAAGAGTATGGCTGCTGCTGCCGTGTCTGCTGCCATTGCTGTCCGGGCCAGGTAGACATCAGTTCTAAAAGGAACATTTTATAGCTTGGTTTAAGAAAGTTCAAGATCACACAAGAATAATGGGTCCCTCGCGGGGCTGCGAAATCAACTTTTTTCAATAGCATGGTGGGCAAGCTGTTGGAGTATGTCCAAGGCTCCCATGCCATTTTCTTAGCTTAGTTCCACACTGTTGCTCTGAACCTGGGTGAGTAATTCTACCTTTCTGATCTTCATTATTTCTGTTTCACGGTTCAGTCAGTAAACTAACTGTAAATAACAGCTGTGTTACATGAGTGACAGAGAATAATTATATCTTTGAGTAACTTTTAGGTGCTCTCTGAGTTCCATCTACGTCTTTACTGCACTGCTGATTATGAAGGCTTACTTAAACCAGTGGTTTCAAGTTCTTCTCTCATGCATTCATATCTGTAAAAAATTTTTGAGCCTGTAATATATGTATATTTATGTATTTCTAAATTATATAAATGTCCTAATGTTCTGATACATATACTGATATCATAAAACATACACAAACCCATAAATCAATATAGGATGAGAAAGAGATGAAGTAAATGCTATTTTCAAAATCTTTTCTATTTTACTTCATTAATGGTAAAAATAAAATAAGAAAACCTCACACACCAGTGGGTTGTCTTGTGCATCCTCTGTAGCATGTAACCTCCACTTTGGGGATTGTTTATTTAGACATAACTTCTATACCAGTTATCCTAGGTTCAGTGTCTTCATACTGCTACATAATTTACAGGCTTTTCCTGAGGGTTTAGGGGTTTTCAGTGGTCCCAGCCAATTTGAACTTGTTTGATCACCTAGCTTGTTTACGTGGTCTTTCTAAATGCTTGCTAGACTCTCCGAACCTAGTGTCTACCGCTCACTCTTGGATGCCCTGCTCATCACGCCTGTCGCTAAGCCTCCTTTGCAGGCCATGAGGCCCTCCAGGAAGTCCATGAGTGCTCTGGAGTTGCCAAAGAGCAGCAGGTATTATCTGAGTGCGGTGCATGGTTGGCACTTAGGACACGCAGGAAACTGGCTTCTATTTCAAAGCCTTTTTCTGTTGCCTGCACACTTGAAGTAGTCTGCCTGTTGTGGTATTTGGCATGAGGTCACCAACCCCAAATCCTACTCGTTTCACCACTTTGCAGAACTAATCTGCACCCCGGTCCTGCTGATGGAGTTCGTGTAAGTCCACCGTACTAAGCAAAGACTTCCTCCCTGGTACTGGGGGCATGCACTGATACGCATGGTGCTGTTCGTGTTGCACCACAAACCTCTGAGGGAGGCACTGTCACTCTGAAGAGCTGACTAGAGAAGAAACAAGATATTCTGGCTTGAAACCTCTATCCAAGTGAATTATTTGCAACAGTTCCTTGAGCCAGTAAGTGACACAGTAGGCTCCAACAGTGCTGCAGGAACAAAGGGCTGCTATTTTTCAAAGCTTACTTTTAATGTATAAAATAACTGGCATGTGGTGCAGCAAATAACTATTGAAAATATATTTGCTGTCTAGGCCTTTTGTTTTAGTGCTGATTCTGTCCAGTGCACAGGACTTTCTGTTCTTGTTTCCTGACCGCAGCTGTGTTAACACTCACTTCTGTGGAAAGCTGCTTTTATGTAACTGACTTCAGCGTCGAAGTTGGAAATGTATTTCTTGAGTTGTTTTTTTTACAGGAAAGTACCTATTAAATTGTGCTAAGGAAGAAATAATTGTGGGGTTTCATGTACGTATTTGTATTTTAACAAGAGTAAAACTCTTCTAGACATAAGGCCCAGTTCTAAGTAGAGCTGAGATTCACTTGATGTAGGAACTTGTATTGAGTAAGATGTATTTATTATTTCCATCCTGTTTCATGGCTTCTAAGGTGACCTCAGTCACTAGAAAAGGCTAAAGTACCCCTAGCCTCGGGGAGCAAAAAATGGTACTTATTAGTCACAATCTTACATTTTATTAAAGTTTCTAACATTGTGGCATATCCACTTTTAAAAGAAAAAACTATTAACAGAATTATAGTACTGTAACACGACCTTAAATCTTAGTTTACTTTTTGCTGCTAAATGATACTTACCAGGAAGTCTTTTTAGGTATGTATCCAAAGGGAAAACCTCTCCAGGAGTTCTGATACTTGCGCACTACGGATGAAGTCCAGGATGTGCTGCCAGACTTTACTATTTAGCTTTGGTGTTTGTTTGCTGATACTTTAGTAGGGCAAATAATCGTGGTGAAAATGAACTTCCTGACTTCCTTTTTCTTTTTTTCCTTCACTCACTAATATGCATTGGTTTTGGCATAAATGAAGGTAGATTGGTACAAGAATGGGAATCTTTTCGTTCTTTACTCTGAAATTGACTTTATGTTTGCCATTGTCTGCTCCTCATACAAGGAGAAACCCTCCTGGTTTTGAAGTTTTATTTTTTGGAGATGCAAGCACTTATTTCTGCCAGAAAGTTGAGATTCCCAAACTAGCTGCATTCAGTTGCTGTTCCTTGGTACATGGGACTGTCTGTTGGGAAAAGCAGCAAGCAGTGGAGAACTTCTTTCATCCTGCCATAATTAAATTGCAGCCTTGGAGGTTTTTCTTTGTTTTGCTCTTACAACTGGCAGAGCTGCATAGAAATGTGCTGGGAGCCAGGGGGTATACAGGGAGTACAGAAGCCATGTAAGCCTGCCCAGATGACCTTATCAGTATTGGATGTATCAAGATCCAGGTTGAACGGCTTGAAATAAATATCTGTAGATTATTAGGGGGAATGTTAAATGTTATTTCTAAACATACTAATTTTCTCTTAAACCATTTCAATAGCCAGGTTATTCTGGTTCAGGTTGCTGCGTGCAGGCTGTGGAATAAAGCAATACAGGAAGTATACGATTTTCAGGCTGTTAGGCACTTCCAAATAGGATAAGGCCTGGAATTTGGGAAATGTGATGTAGCAGTACCATTAGTCTGAGAATGCTTTGCATAAACTGTATTTTGCAGGATTTTTCCCTGAATAACTGCTGTTGGTCTGAAGTTATCATCCAGCATACCAGGGTAATGATTTCTGTTTTCCTTATTATCATCCTGAGCCAGTTGCCAGTTGATGGAACCGTAGAAATGAAGCTTTGTGCTGCCTAGTGAATAAGGGAGCACAACCTTTATTGTGTGGCTTGAGAAACATATAGGAAAAGGAGACAAAAGATAATTTATGCGTACAATTTACTGTCAGTAAGCACGTAAGTACAGTAAGTTCAACAAAGATCAAGCAAAATTAATCAATTCTGCTAGAAAAAAAAAGACAAATATAACAGATTTGAAAGAAATGTAGCCAATGAGTGTGTGAAACTAGGTATTAAAATGTCTTTGCACTAGTGTGCATCTCATGACGTGTTCTAATATGTACATGAATGTCATGCTAAAGTTTTACATGGCAGCTCACTTCATCCCACAACACAGTACTTGATAAGAAAGAACTGAAATCTTATGTCCCGTAAGTACAGAAATGAGTATACAACATTGTGTAGTAGAATCACTTGTTAAAAAAACAATTGGCTCCACAATGTGAGGCAAGTAAATTAGCTGAAAACAACTTTGGGGTTTGTGTTCTGGATCTATCTTGTATAACTTTCATGAAAAGGTAATGGGTCTATTTTACCAAGGTAGCTTTGCATTATCTCTGGGGAATATCTCAAGAAGGTTGTAGCTATAGTAAAAGCAGGGGTTTGATTTTGTTCTGCAACAGGGTTGTTACTCCAGAAATATTTCCCTTTTATTCTTGTCTCTTCACTGTTTCTGTTCCAGAAAGCTGGCTGTCTTAAACTGCTCTGCATTGGTTAGCTGTGAGAGAACTTAACCTTCTTTTCTGCCTTAATATCTGTTATTAACTAGTCTGAAGTGTGCTGAACATCCACACATTTTCACTGCCTACCAAACTCCTCAGAAATGGTCTTTTTTTCTTGGTATAGAATCAACTAGGTTGGAAGAGACCTTTAAGATCATCAAGTCCAACTGTTACTCCAGCACTGCCAGTCCACTGCTAAACCATGTCATTAAGAGCCTCGCCTACATGGCTTTTGAATACTTCCAGGGGCAGTGATGCATATCTTGCTTCTCTCCACAACTCAAGGAAATGTGTAGCTTTGTCGTATAACAGCCATGCAGTCTTTCACTAAGTTTTCATCCTGATGTCAAGCCTTAAGTTTATAGAGGTCCATGTTTTATAACAACATATATGCAGCAGAGAGAATGATGTATTTAATATCCAAGAATTGGGGTCTGCCATAAAATCAAATCACATGGCAAAAATGATGTAAAATTTTGGGAGACGCTAGCGAGAATGGGCATTGACGTGGCTTTTGCTTTATCTTCTTGACACTGTGCCATATACAATTACTTGAAAAGAGGATGGTCTGGCCCTGTGAGATAAACAGTGATGCTGACTCTGGGAGAATTCTTGTTCTGAAAGATGCTTTGAATTGTTTCTATGTAGAGCACTGCTTGTGGAAGGGTTACATAGTCCATTACTGTAACTCGATATGGAAATACCTCCACCCAGATGGCTTTCTCTCCCCTTTATTATTTTATTTTGCATTTTTGTCTTTCTTGGAAGTTGTTGGAACACTGCTAGGTTAACATGAAACGTAAACACCATTTTAGAAAGCTGACTGAGACCGTGGGTTTGCACTAGGGGTGGGAACAAGCTCAGCACTCAGTATTTTCTGTCTTCTGTTTCTCTGTTATTACATCAGAACACCCTTGTATAAAAGGCATATGTATTTGCCCTATTTGTGGGGTTTTGTTCTCATTCTCATACCTTTTTCTGGCCTCCTGTACCTGTCTTCAGCTAATGTGTGTTTTGATACTGGACAAAATACATCGTGTGATGTGTATGACTTAACACATCTTAAACCAAGAAATTTTGATCTGAGATTCGAGTTTATCTCAGCTGTGCTAATACCTTGCTGTAAAGCTCTGCAGAATCATCTGCTTGACAGTTTACTTGGTCTTAGGGCAGACAGATCATTCTTTGAAGTTGCAGTTTCTTTAATACAAATGTTTCAAAAAATTCTCTTTCTCCCCCCCCTTCCCCTCCTTCAGTGCTATACCAAGTACTATGAATATGTTAGAAGCCGTTTATTCAGGTTTCAGCAGCGTGCTCTATGCCTGCGTGGAGTTAACAGACAACAGGCAGCTGTGTGTAAGGCAAGGGAAGTCTTACATTTTTTGTCACACTGTTTTGGTTTTAGAAGCCATAAAGCAGAATCAAGGCTACCACATTCCACTTGGTTGTGCCAGAAACCAAGAAGAGTGATTTGCTCACACCTTTTTTTTTGTCATGAAATTTTTAATACTCTTAAGGGAAAATAACCTCACAGAATTCCTGGCTATCAGAAGAAAGCATTTACAGACTTTCTCTTAGATACTCCGTGACCTCTTCTGTCAGCAAGCTTCCTTAGATCGCAGAGTTCCTGACTCACACAGTCATCGTGGACAAGTGGGAGTTAAAAGTATCATTTATAATCCAGAGATGTAGTAGGAAAATACTGATCTACTAGACTGAGGTTGTGGCTCAAGTGATGATGATTACAGATGGATAACCTGGTATTTTGGGCTTCCATGAGAAAAAAGGTCCACCTAGACCTTTTTGAATCTGCTTGGGAAAGTCTGAGAGACTTGGCCTTTGTCAGCATTTTAGAGGTGTTAGAAGTTACACTACAAAAAACTGTATTCATTTTTAGATAGGACCATAGCTTCTCCTTTGGCTAATAACAACATGATACATAGTCACCTTCTCTAAAGCATGTGTAAAGAAATTCTAGGCAGCCTTATACAGGAGTTCCCATGGAAGGATGGAGGGAGTTCAGGCATCTATAGCCCCAGACCATGTGATTTTCTTCTGCTGGATTGTAGGGGAAGCAGGGCATCAAAACCTCTGACTACGTTCAGAAAGGTTTTCCAGTGCAAATTCCTTAAAATGCATTTGAAATGTGTTCATCCTTGTCTTGAAGCACCTGATTTTGAGAAGAAAGCAGCTGTGGTATGGAGGCAAATATCCCAGAGTGGTCTCTGAAAAACTGGTGCTCATTTCACATGTCAACTGGACCTGCTTCTTTCTCTGCAGGTTTCTTGCCTCTATAGCATCCATGAAGTTCTCGGTGCCATGTCCAGCAATGGGACAGTCATCTGGCATGTCTTTTCCTCCCTGTCCTCCTACCAAAAGCCAGGGTGTAATACAGTGGTTTATATACAGTGTAAAACAACAGAGGAATTATTACTTGCTTTGTAGTCTTTTTTTCCACAGTACTTTTGTTGATCAGGAGGGGCAAGTCTGAGGAGCCTGTTGTGAGCTCTGGATAAAGTTTGCACTGGCAGTGGAGCCCTGTGTGTGTCCCCAGGTCTCAGACCGGCATACCAGGAAGTTCTTTATTTTCTGTACCTGTCCTTACTCTGATAGAATGGGGCTGCACTCTGCGGTAGGAATTGTTCATGGAAGTTCAGGAGATGTGTCATGTACTAGCCAGCATGTATCAAAGGCAGAGAGGAGTCTTTGGCTTGTTCCTTTGCTGGACTTTGTCTTTCTTAAAAGGAATGTGGCTCTTGGTTACATTAGTTTTCATCATGGAAACCTTTCATTTTTGCTATAAGTATTCATCAGGTGGAAGAGTAATAACAGTTATGAAACAGAGGTAAAAGGTTAAAGCTAGAGTTAGAAGGTAGGCATGTCATTAATAATAGTAGACGTGTTTTGACATCAAAATGTGCTTGACCTGAACCTGGCCTATGAGTGTCATCTGTGAAGTCTGAGAAAGCTATTCGTGTGAAACTTGGTAAATACATAAGGTTTATCATTCCTCCTTCAGCTTTCTAGTGATGACACTGTAAAACAGATGGGAGCTCTCTTCCATGACCCATTCATTTTCTTAAATTTCTGTATATTTTTTTTTCTCTTCAAACTATGTATTTTCTAGGTAATGAATCTTGTACAATATCCTAGTGAATTACAAAAATACTAGCTGGGCTAATTGTGGGTATTTTACAGCCGCTTTGTAGAGGGTAAGGTAAGTGTGCTTCTGAAAAGACAGCTATATTTATAAAGTGGGTAAAAATAATTGGAGTTTGAGTGTTTTTCAGTGTAGAAGAACATAAAGTAAAATGTTGAGGAATTAATCTTGAAGCATGAATTTGAAGAAGCTTAGCATTAGCAAGGGTGCAGCCGCTTGTTTGAAAGCGAGACGAAGATGCATTTCCCTCTCTCAATGGAGAACACTGCATGTGCACTCCCAGGCAATTGTGTGATTAGAGGCTGTAATGCAGGAAAACAGTGCATGAGCACCTCAGCCATTTCTACATTTTTTCTATCCTTCTCCTGCCTAAACGATACTCTTTTTACTTGTCTTGCATCCATTTTTGCTTGTTGAGTAGCTTCTTCTGTGTAAAGGCAGAAGCCCTGGCAGCAGGGTTTTCTTATTTAGGACAGATTATTTATGATTTACGTGTTCCAGACAAAGGCAGTTAAAGAGATGCTATGTTTGAAAAGTGGTTTGATAAGTGGATGCATCGTTTGGATGGAGAAGGAGGAAACTTTTTAGGATCAACAGTGTTTTGAGGAATTCTCTAAGTTGTAATGGGGCTTGGACCTGAAGCATCAAACATAGGTTATGTGTCAGATGTACTCAACAGTACAGAAGGGCGCTTCTGTGACACTGAAGTTACAGCCTTGTACTTTTTTCGTAGTGGAAGCCAGTCCTAAACTGCCTTGTCATCTTCACCCACTGAGCTGCTTCCTCACATCAGAGAATGTCTTCCTATCCTTTTTCTGTCAGTCTGCAACAGTGCTTTTATGCAGTGTATCTCTGCTGCCTCAGAATTTTGTTAAAAGACCTGGATCCTAAGCTTTTAAGGAGCCTAAAGTGTACCTTGAGTGCCTCTGTTTTCACAAATGTCTTTAAATATCTTTTAAAATGTAACAGAATGCAAAGTCTCACTTTGTGCTTCACTGGGTTTGTGCACACTGCATATAGCAAATCCATCAATGTCAGGCAAGCTTCCACTGTTCCCAAAAGCCTACAAATGCAATAGCTGTTACTCATTAAACTGAACATTCATATATATTCTCTAAACTGTGAATATGTTTTTTCATCCATTACCAAGAAAAAATTCTAAATGCATCAATTATTAACCCTGTAAATCTAGACACAAAAAATCAGGGTTATGAACTTGCTTTTTGACCTCTCAGTGTGTTCAAGTTCTTGCATGTCATATGGGCAGGGCAATATTGTGCTGGTGTAATACTTGTAAAGCAAAAATAGCTCAAGGATTTTTACTTTATGAACTTGGCACAGTCTGTAATTCTGTGAATGACCCTGGTGAAATATGCACGATGCACATGTGCCGTAAATTGTTTTTTCTTAAATACAGGAAAGAATGCAAGGCTTCTAATGTGTTGGCTGATGTGTTTCCAGATTGCACAAAATATGTATTTAGAATTGTGCTTTGGCTGTATTGCACAACATTATTGAGTTAACTTCTTGTTTTTGTGATCTTCTTGGTTTGCAAATGACCTTCATTAGCAATTACTCTTCTACTTCTAAGGTTTTCAATAAAAATTTTTGTTTTCAGCTTCTGAAAGGCAAATATCCATTATACCAATACTATTACAGTGCATAAAAAATTGTTATGGATAACTTTCTCATTCTTGAACAGCCTCTGGAAATGAGAAATGAAAATTTTTCTGGCAGGCAATGTAATTAGTGGCCATATACATTCTACATGAATTGTGATTAAGTACAGTTTTCATCATCCATGGTTTATAAATAGCTGAAAGAGTTCTGCTAACCCTGAAAATGTAAAAGCAACTGTAAGCTGCTCTAAAGAGGCAATATAAAAGATTGTTTAATGAATGAAGAAACTTGCAGCTCTTTTAAAATACTTAATTTTTTGGAGGCACAGTGGCGCATAGAAGAAAATTGCATTTAATTAAAGCACTTTTAGATAGATAATTTTATTAAGATCTACAAGTATAATCTGACTGAGTATTTGTCTACTCTCCAAGAAAAAAAGAAGTATTGAAAAAGTCTAGGAGTGTACAAACTTTACAGTAAGGGATCTGCTTTAACTTGTGTCATGCCAACAATTATTGTATATGGAAATTGTGAAGGGATTTAGTTGTCTATATTGAATTTTGGCAGGAATTACTCAAATGTGCAGTTCTTGGGGGTCAGAAAAAGCTTAAAAATGCAGCTTCCCCAGCATTGTCCTGGGATGATCACCCCAGCATTGGTGGTGGCAGAGTAGTGAGTGCAGCTCTGTTGCACCAGGGTGTTGCTCCGCATCTCCAGTTCATTGATTCTCTTGGTCTAGCAGGAAATGCATTTTATTTTCTCCTCTTCATTTCTGAACAGTGATTCCGTGGAGGCTGCCCAGCCTGCTGCTTTTACGGCATCCTCGTCAGCGAACATGCTTGCCCACCAAGAAAACATGGACACGAGATCTGCTACTGCCAGCACTGCATCTGCTGCCGGTCTCAAGCCAACAGGAGCCCCAGGTGCTGCCAAGTACTCGGGCTTGCAGCCTGCAAGCCAAGCAGGTAAATTCCAGGGAGGCTTTTTCTTGTTCACTTAAAGAGGCTTGGATAGCTCAGGAAAAAATATTTCACCTTGGGTGTAAAAGCAACAGTCTTCAAATGGCTGCATGTGTGTTTTGAGTACAAGCCAGTTTGTTTAGGAGAGAGGAGAAGAAACCCAAATTTAGCAGTTTTAGTAAACCACTAGCCCTTTGTAAGTTACCTCATAGATGTAATTGGTTTCACAAACAAGCAAAGTCAGATGTCCGTGACCTCTATCAAAAGCATATATGTCAGTCAAACATATATGTGTGTATATATACATATACGTACACAGACCCCTCAGTTTCAACTTGGCACTTCCCATGTGACCTCAAATTTCATGCTGTTTCAGGGGTGGGAATATCAACAGACAAGTGTTTTCCAAGTGATCTTTCCTGAAGTTAATTGCAAAAAATCAAATCAAAACAAAAAAAAAACCACCCAAACCAAAACTAAAACATTAGAGTGGTCATGTATCTGATATTTGTAGGGTTTATGTGAGAAGAGTGCCAGAGTATTGCATAGGTTTGTGATAGGAGATTTGTTTAAATAGGTTTTCGTGCAAGTACAATGTACATAGCTACCTACAGGCTTTGAATGTAGCTTGGTGATTCTTTGCCCCTTTAAACCCACACCAAAATGTCTTATGCCTGGAAAGCATGCCGTTTCCGTCATGAATTTCAAAGGATCTGGGAAATCTGTACTGCTAATTAAGCTTTAACTGTCATTCTTGTAAGAATGAGATTAATATCCTTGATACTCTTTCTGACTTTTTTTAGTTCTACTGTTAAGGGTTTTCTGTCTTTAGAAGTGTATTTTAAAAGTATATCCAGTCCAGAAAGGGAACTGCAGAGGCCCTAGCTTAAAAGTAAATATAAAACATATGGCGTTAACGCCGTGTGTTTTGTAACGGCTTTGGCACATCTGGCTCAATTACTGTTGTGCTTGGTAACAAATATATGTATTTTATTTGGATATGCAGTTCTGCTACCAAGCCTCAAGATGGCAATACACTGTCATTTCTGTACTTCCCTGTCAAATACCGAGTATATTCTTAAGGTCAAAGTAAAGATATATTTAAATTTAGATCGTTTTAAGTCTAGCATTGTTTCACTTCTGTGAGTTAGATATCATTAGAGGAAAAAAACCTCAACTTTTTGAAAGTTACATTTTTCATAGTAGGTGTACTTAAGGCAAATGCTTGTGGAAATATGATAATTTGAAGTTTTGTAAGTGACTGAGTGTGCTTCATCTTTGATGTAATTCTCTGAGTGATAATTTTATTTCACTTGCACAGAAATCACCTGTCAGCTTGGGGTTTTGGTAGTACTACAGCCATTTTCAGTGTGTTTGTAGGTGTGTCATTGTTAAAACCTACTAGCATGCCTTAGTACTAATACAAGTCTAATGTTTGAAACAGACTTTTTAAGTGGCAGACACATGAAGGATTTTAGATTTTTAATTTAGGATTAATTCATCCAATTACAGTTGATTTCATACTTCTCCAAAAATCTGTGCCCATGCTCTTGGATAATGGTAAAAATCTCTTCACAAAGAGGTACTAAGTCGGTAGATGAGGGGGGAAGCCAGGCAGAGAGTTTCTGAGGCTTATGTTGCAGAACACCTTACCAGAAAACTTTGGAAATTTATACTGGTGCAAAAGCAAGTGGAAGGCAATGGTCGTGAGGATGTCAGCTCTACACTACCTTGCTGTAGGGTCCTGAGATGCACTGCTTAACTTCCAAAGGAGCAAAGTCATTACCTCCTCCAAAAATATTCGGGGATCCAGAAGTAAAAACTGTAGGAGAAAGAGTCATTGAAAACTCTTACGTTTCTTAAAATAGTAAAGTATGGGGAGCAAAACACAACAGAGAGAATGGCAGTGCCCAGGAGTTAACAGGGGCAGGAGAAGATAGGATGTCAAGGATGCCAGAGGAGCTCTATTAGCATTTGCATCTCAGGAGTGTGAGGAGTCACGCACTGCCCCAGGAAGCTGGTCCCAGATGAGGAGCTGCTTGCTGCAACAGTGAGGAAAAGCAGGCTGTTTGGAGATGTCAAAATAATCTTGGGTTTTGTTCATCTTTTGAATTATGTGACTTCATCAGTCTGAAGGCAGCTTCGTCTTACAGCGGAGTTTGCAAATGAGTAAAGAAATGACAGACCTAGTGTGCCTGCTAGCCTGATTTCTGACTTGAAAGAAAATGTTTTGTGATTTGATTAAAATTCCAACAGTTGCCAAGGTGCCGGAGGCTTGTCCAGAGGTTATCTGACAGGTTTCACTGAAGGTCTGCCCTGTAAACCTGCCCTAGGCTCACCTCAGGTTTAATATGCCATGCATTACCCATGTCATTCAAGAAGTCGGTAACGCAAAACTAGAAGATAGGAGAGACTTGAGCATGGTTACAGCAGAGATGGACTCAGCATCTATTTCTCAGGCCTATATTTTACAAAAATAAAAGCATTTGGTGTACGTGAGTTTGCTCAGAATGGCTGAACCCAGCAGTCCGACAGGTAAAACTGTTGCAATAGTTGAGTGTTGATAAAATTAGTCAGATGTTGAAGAAAAAGAAAGACTAGAACTGTTTCTGCTGTTTGTTTGCAGTCTGTGAGCATAAAGTTTTCTTTAAATTGCCAGTGCTTCACAAGCCAAACAAAATTTGGCTTCATAGGTCTTATGCCTGACAAAATTTTAAACAAACCCCCCAAGATTTCATAGTTGCAGTCCAGCTTAGGAAATAATTAGAAAGAAAACATAATATCATGTAAATGTGTATATCAGCATGCTATTAATAGCATGCTTATTTGTAGTGCAGTTTTGTAGCTCTAATAGCGCTCACCCTTCTAATGAATATTGTATGTAACACCAAGTTGTTTCCATAGCAAAGCAGGCATGTCGCAGGATTTTGTTTGTCTGGGGAAGCTGTAATCGGCTGTTTGATGGCGTGGCATGGATATTACCAGTGATTTTATTTATTAAGAAATCTAACTACACAGATAAGTCATTTGGTCAGACAGCATCTTTTTGTTTATTGGCTGGAATCTCCCTTTCTTGTGTAGGCCACCAGAGAATACCCTTATGGTTGATTTATTTATTTATTTAATTAATTAATTAAAAGTAGCATGGTTTCTTGTTTTGGTTTTGGTGGGTTTTGGTTGGGTTTTCGAGATTGTTCAGAGATGCTTAAAGGTGTCAGAGGGTTTCTGTTGGAACTGAACGCCTCTATTTCATGACCTAGCAAGAAAATGGTGTAGGGGAAAAAGATGGTCTGAAATAAATAGCTGAGATTGTGAGCCTGGAGGTGCTTCAAGTACTGGGTTTCTCTGTAGAGAAGTCAGTCGTGATCCAAGAGATCTCGCAGTGATAGAACCCTTAGAGCTGAAGTATCCTCATCTGCTGCTGCACTCGTGGGTTACCCACAAATATACTACGCTAGTCACCCACTGTGAAGGTAACAGAGGTTTTATTCTCCTCTGGAATAGAATCCTGGTATTACAGGATTCCTGAGTGGTTTGGTAGAGAAAATGAGGGGTGATTGCCTTTTGTTTTCTTTTAAGGCATGGGTAAGAAGGTGGATAAGCAGGATAAAAGCCTGGCTTGTCAACAAATGAACAAATAAAGTCTCACCTTTGGCACACAGGATGCACGAGGAGTTGAAGATGGGGAGCATGTGAGGGGTGCAGCAGTGCCATTAGCCTGGAGAGTGGTTTCCAGATAACTCATTTGCTACCAGCCTCTCTTGTCTGTGCTGTTGATTTTTTCAGCTGTTGAAAAGAAGTCTCATTGTGGCTGTTACTGTGTGTTAAGTGTACAGGCTAGAATTTATAACAGTTCTTACTTCATTTCTGTTGAGCTGTGATGCTCTGTTCACCCACCAAAGGGAAAAGCTTTTTACCAGATTATATCCAATTTAAAAAGAACCTACTCAGAACATCCTAGCTACATCACAGCGAGTCATTCTACTATTTGATAGCTATTACCCTCTGCTTATGTAGCATAGCTCACCCCAAGGAACCCCAAAGCATTTTCCAGTCCTGGTACCATGTGCAAGCACATGATGCACACACAGGAATGGTGTTTGCCCACCACTGCTACGCAGTCACTTCTTGGGTGAAAGGTAACAGCTGCTTGTCAGCACGCTGTAATACTCCATGGCATCTTGAAAGGAAGTGAATAGCACCGTGGCAAATTGAAACTGCTGGGATAATTGAAGAAAGTATAATTATGCAGTAAATGCAGTGACACAAACTGGAGTTTGGCCAGGAGATGAACTGTTCTTGCAAAAAGAGCAGCAGGATCTGCGATGATCAGAAGTGGCCAGGACTTACAGTGTTGCATTTCTCACACAAAAATGCCCCCACTTTGTGGCATCTTCAAAAGGCTTTTGTTGGCAGGGGAGCTGCTGGTGCAGTGGGACCAGAGAGGCTGGGTACCAGGCATGACACTGCAGTGTGCTCCATGCAAGAGCTCAGCAGGCAGCATCCTGCTTCACTCTTGGGGGTCTGTTTGGATCGTGGGTATCTCATGGTGAACTGGTACAGCTGGTGACCAGAAAAGCTGGTTTGCTTCTTGGAGAGGAGGGCTTATTGTAATTGATGACCTTTGTTCCCCCTAGGCATAGACAGCTGAGTTACAAAGATGGGATGGGGGTGGGTTGTGTTAGAAGTGTCTGAAGCTTGCAATTTTAAGTGACCAGTTACTTGCCTGTGCCAGTTTCCATATTCCCAGGGTTTCTCTCAGCCTGATACCACTGGGATATATAATCCCCTTCCAGTAGAGCTGCTTGGGAATGTCAGCATATTCTGTAATACCCACAACTGTCAGTTGCCTAATCCCGAGCCAGCACATGTGTTAAGCACATGCTTCCTTCAGCAGAGGGAACGCATTTGGAAGCTGACTGTAAGCATAGAAAAATTCTGCTCTTTCCTTGCAGTTGTGTTTGATATACTTGCGTTTACCATCTCTGCATGCTGCTTTGCTGTAT